CCGAGGAGGAGCCAAAGAGGGTCTCTTGAGGTCAAAGATCAAGGGCCCGATTGGAAGGCTGAACGGCCCAGAGGGCTGGCTGTTGTTCATACTAAGGATCCCCGCCCGCGGGACCGTGATATCAGATGTCAGTTAGAGGGCCTCTTCGCACCCACTGGGGAACCCTGAGACGGAGCGTTCCTCTACTTCGACCAGAGATCCCCAAAACGGAACAGTCGGCTCCGTGATGGTCTGAGTTCCGGGCTCTGTTATCCCTAACAGGAACAAGGCCGGACCTGCGATTTACATTAGTCGGAGTCCGTGCAAGAATTCGGGGCTCATATATTGTTCATTGGCCCACAGTGCCTAAAAGAGTGTCAACAAGGGGCCTCGAGTCGGTCAGCCAATGATTTACTCAACAGGGACGGGGACGGACCCCCAAATGACGGCGCTTCTTGTGTTGGTCAAAGTCTCTGACAATGACAGGAAAAGTGAAAAAGCATGATGAGTGCTCATATTGAGGCAAAAGAGGGGTCCTTTTGCCAGTCAGGGCCCCAGTACAGAACTGTGGTCCCTCCAACCAAATTCCTGAACTGGAGGCTATGTGCCAATTACTTGACCACCTGCGGCGATCAGGGGTTGTGTTGCGTCAGTGACGTCAGGGGGGGGGGAGGTGACAGGTGAGGAGGAGGTGGAGGTGGGAAGTGATATGATGCGTCCCTCTAACGGCCTCCGGATCGGCCAGGGGATCTCGCCCGTGTCGCCTGAATGACAGTCGGAAGACACCCCGCGATGGGACGAAATGACTTTTGAACCCTTAACTGGGAACAATAATGTTGCCTTAGTATGCTTCTCAAAAGGCCCTTTCCCGGAAAGAAAAGGGGGTCTCATTACTGTTAAACACTGGTTAGAAATGAGTCCTAAGATGAGTCCTAAAGACATACCATGTTTGCCTGGGAACGCTCATGGTTTTGCAGAATCAACTAGCGAAACAAATTTCATCACAAGGCGTGGGCCTGTACGCCCGCGATCTTGGGAGCAAGGACAGCGATGGCCTGGTTTGCGGTCTTCGTAAAACCGAGCAGCCTGAGCCACTGCAAGTAAGACCAGGCGGCGGGCGCTGTGCGCGCAAGAACGACCGTCTTAAAAGATGATTTCGAATACCTTAAAATTGATTCGTACCTTTCAAAAATTAGACTGGGCTTATCTTTTTTACACCTTAAAAGGAGCCCTCTAGACAGGTCAACAGTTGCAGTAATAGGAAAAATAAAGATTCTACCTTACCTCTTCTGGTTCTTCCACCAGATTCCAGCACCCCTTGCAGTGCTGTAGAGACCAATCCGTTCTGACCATCAATCTAAAAATCGTTCGGGTGAAATATACACCCGGACTGCCTTCTAAATGTGCGGTTCGATGTCATTCAGTCTTCAAAGGTACTTCTTTCAGATGCGTCATCATTTTCGTCCACCCTTTGGCCACGGCATAGTGTTAGCCGCGGGCCGACGCCGCGCCGCCTATGGAGACTGTAATGCCTGGCGTCGAGATTTTGTTACTAAGATTTGTGAGCGCGCATACTCAAAACTGCCTTATACAATTTGTACCACATATCTATTCTGATTGAATGTTAACATTTCCAGGCAAACATGACCTGGCCACGTTAATACAAATTGTTGACCCAGTTAGGTCTACAATATTCATTCAACGAATCCCCAATATCTCTGTACAACCCAGATCAAAGATCATAACAAAGCTTCTAAGTCCCATCGGCTTAAAACAAATTTACTGGACCCTTGCCAAAAGAAGAGACACAGCAGTTTATCGCAGTCACTTAATGCGTGATTTCTCCAGTTTACTGACAACACAAGTCAGGCAGGATTATTTCGTGGTAGCTTTCTTGCTTTCATTCCGGATTATAACAGGTAGGAATGAAAAATGTAAAGGAAAAACATTCCCTTATTAACAGTTTGGCCTTTGCCGGTGATTTCTTTGGCGCGGGGGGGAGCCTTTCACTATCAGGGGGCCCTTTGTCTGCTGTGTGCCCCCCCCCCCCCTTGCGAAGGATCTGGCTGCGGTATTCTACAGTTAACAGCTTTTGCACGTCCTTGATACGTTGCCAACCCGCAGTTGATTACCTGTACTAACCAAGTCTAAACCGGATCAAACCTGATTGTCTTTCACTGATATATCAGTACCCGAGGAGGCATTTGGGCCGCGCTTGTATTCATCTTGCTTGTGCGTCATTTTGCGAGATACACCAGCAGATTCATATCCAAATTCATGTCACAAGGCTCTGTTTGCCTGAACGTCTATTTCGTCACAACGCTGACCTCACTCACTTAACGGCTGCGGCAGTAAACCAATGAAAGTGCTTCAAAAGTCCAACTTTAGCTCACCAAGGTATAAATAGAAGCATGTCTCATTTTGAACCGTATTCTAGAATTAAACTTTTATCACCCCAAAGATGAGACAATGCAGTTTTCCTTTTACCGTAAGAAGATACTGTTTTAGTTCTCCATCACTTTGGCTTTCTTACCTCCCATCTCTTTTTCGGGGCAGCTCGATCACTTTGGGCTCGTCTGAAACACAAGAACACTCTGAGCGGTTTTAATAATCAATCACATGGACGCTACCAACGGCGCTGACCAGCCGGAGGTTTCTGCTTACAAAGACAGGGCGCTGACTGCCTGAGCCGCGAGCGATACGCGAGGCCTCCGTCCGTTGGCTCCTTACGGTCGATGTTTTCTGCGACGAAAACGGCGCGGACGTCCACCTGGCACGGCTAGGAGACATGGGACTCAGGACTTGTCATTTAGGCTGGGATACGGTTAATTGCTTATAACCTGCATAGTCTTTCGAGGGAGAGATGTTAGGTGAATGTCGGAATTTATTCTCCAAACGTTGTTGCTGAACTCGAATTTACATGGGAGTTGATATGCATCGTGCGTAATTATTATATTTCGCAATCCAATGCGCCTTGCCTTTTTAATGAGAACATTGAGAGGACAAACAGGATAGACGAAGAGCGGATGCCAAATTTTTATGCGGGGCCCTAGTGTGACTGTGTCAAGGACGGTTCAGGCACGGCCCGCGCAAATTCGTGTGGCTTGTGATGTGTATTGGCTGTAATGCCCTGTTTAAAGAAAAAAGGTTGAGCGCATGATCAAGAGAGGGAAGACGAGTTTAAACAAGTCACTTTGCTTTTCAAAGAGTGAACGTTGTTCGTCCCTAATTTCATGCCGATTTGGGCTGCTGCCCACGTGAAGTGTGAAGGGTATGCAGCAGCCTCCAAAGCTGGCAGTCCGAGGGTAAACGAATTAAACATTGCTTTACATTCCGCTGGATATGTCCATTCTCACCTTCCCAACAGTTCCTTTCCTCACAGGACACGTCCGGCTTATGGCAAAGCGCAGGTCGCGCTCTTTAAAAACGGTTACATTGGCCGCCAGTCTCTGTCTTATCCGCCCCGCCAACTATCAACAGCTCCATTGGAGGGGTTCTGTTAGCTCAGCTCCATTTTTTGACACAGCAATTTTCATCAGGGTGTACAACATATTGTGCACGGCCGGTGTTCGGCCACACCATTCTGAACGAAACGGTTTTTTTCTTCTCGGACCCTATTCAATAAAATGATAGAGATAACCATGCTCGTTAATCATAGCAGGCCGTTTAAGTACAAGTTAAACGGTACATTATAACACATTTAAGGCTTTTTGCATGATTACATGTTCACATCGGCTTGCAACTCACATGCAAATGCAAGTGCAATGCCATGCAATGGGTAAATACAGTTGCAAAGTGCAATGTGCTGCGTCCTTCGCATGACATTATTTTAAATAAATAACCAATAAAAATAGCTTTTATCCACCCCGGATGTAAATGAAGTGGAATAAATCCTGGACAAAAGCAAGGTTTTGGGAGCTTCTTAGGTCGCCCTTGTCCGTTGAGAGCCACCCCGCCCCCTCCCCCACACCCCCCGCCTCTCCCCCGCCTCAACTTTGTTTTAGAAAGGTACACCCCTGCCTAGTTCTGCTTAGTCAGTTGCTACTGCGAATTTCACTCAGTGTGCGGTTTAGAGGAGCGGTCAACGCACCGAGGTTTTTGGCTCTACCTGCCCTCTGTCTCTGGCAGGCCAGGACAAAGACTGCAGGTGTCAACAATTAGCCCGTGTATCCACAGTAGATTAGCAGATCTACATTAAATTCATAAATCTATAGGAAATACATAGATCAGCAGTAGATCGCATATAGTGGATATGCAGATCCAGGAAAGCTCCACAGGTGCATAAAAGATCCGCAGTAGATCCTCAGATTCACAGCAGACCCGCAGATCCACAGCACGCCCACAGATCAACGGATGCGAGGTTTGTGCTGCCCAAAAACCTTCTGTAAACAAAGTTGGTGCGATTGATAAGTTCAGAACATATTCGGGAGACGTTGCCCTTCCCCCCTCCCCCCCCCCCCCGCCTGTCAGCGAGCGGGGCGCTTAAACACCTCCGGAAACGCCTCATTAACTGAAAGAGTGATTTGTATATTTGGGTTGTCTGTTCCCAATTTCAGACCGAAATTGGGTGCCTGCAATGTTTCCTCTGTGCTTTGATCCAGACACGTATCCGTACAAATCGAGTTATCCACGCCAATCCAGCTGCAGCATGGCACCACAGTGCGGGTGTCTACACGTCGGAAAATATCACCGCTTTGACCAAGACGATCGGGAGGTGTTGCGTGATGCATGAATATGTCAAGGCGTTGTTTTCATCCTACTGGACATAAATTTGGTTTATTTGGGTGAAGTTGCATCTCAACATGCTCTCTCCGTTTGCTGGCCTTGTGGGGATCTGATGGCTGATGATATGCCGGCTTCTCATCGTACCACGCCGCTAACGCAGCCTAGCCCTGCATCGGTGATGACCATCCCCGCCAACATGCCAGCCCGGTGATTTGCCGCCAGCTGTCGGGGACGATACGCGCTGCCTTCTGGTTTGACCCGGTTGCCGACGCCCGCAAGCTACGCAGGGCTGTGAGAGGCTGGGGAACGGACGAGGACGCCCTCATCAGCGTGCTCTGCAGTCGGAGTAACGCCCAGCGCCAGCAGATCGCCGCTCAGTACAGCAGGGTCTATGGAAGGGTGGGTATACGGGCCTGCAGGGTCTATGGAAGGGTAGGTACACGGGCCTGCAGGGTCTGTGGAAGGGTAGGTATACGGGCCTGCAGGGTCTATGGAAGGGTAGGCATACGGGCCTGCAGGGTCTATGGAAGGGTAGGTGTGTGGGGCTTAGTGCGGGCACCCTCCTCTGCAATGAGTGGGAACATCAGTGCGTACTGGCATACTGGAATATTTGATTTGAGGTACTTACATTCGGTGTTAACACGCGTTCGGATGGGGATCGATTTCACCCTCATTTAGCCGTCTTCAAAGATAACTTCCCAGCCGCGCGGCGTTGCAACGCCAGGCTTTGAGCAGTTGTAGACAATCGAACAGCCGATAGCTTGGTTGATATTTTTGACAAGCCTTTTAAGGTCACTGACATGTAGCAGGTCAAAGCCAGACTATGGACATCAGCCGAGACACTTTCACAAGACTCATTCAAGCTTATGTAACAACAGAGTGTTGACGATGTCATCTGTGACTCTGAGATGGTTTCACGGACAAGACAATTGAAAACTGAATGACAGCTACCTGACCTTGCTGACCTAACAGCTAAATGACCTTGAATATGGTGTAACGGTCGGATGAGGGTCAAAACCAGCCAACATTTCCTGAAAAACTTGCTGTAAGGGAAGTTTTGAATGCTCATTTTGAATCCTTAATCTCAAGAACAACACCTGACCTTTCAGTTTCATGTCATAAGGGTCAAAAGGGGTCCTGACACTTCTTCTCGAGTAGCTCTTGGCGCTGATTGGATAATGATTCAGCAAAACGATATGAAAGATTTCCGGTTATTTTTACCTTTTTGTTGTTGTTTATTGACGTTTTTGGACGCGCTGATTGCGGTGGTCATTTTGCGCCTAATTTTGACCTTCTTAAGATCAGACAGGCCACTGACCTGACATGATTACCATTGATTTTTTGCTCAGAGAGCACCTTGGGTAAAGCTGATGGATGAGTAGGTCTGAGCACTTCGCATACCGATCTGCAGTCTGACCTTATCCCACCATATTTAGCACGAAGGTCACCACCTAGATACCTACAAGTTGTCCTGCGATGAATTTACATAGAGGTCTATGTACCCTGTGAACTTGGTGTCTCTAGCTCTCTTAGTTTGTTTATTTCAGATTGTCCAATACTTCTACCACCCACCCAAGCGCGCTGTAGTCAACCGACTACATGGGAGTGTGTTAATACAGATGTGTGGTGTGCATGTGCTATCTGTTATTAGGTACCTCTCCCACACGAAGCCGAGATGAAGCTTTTCCGCTGGATATTGCCGTGTGACAGTCGCGATATGCCCTGTTGTGTAAAGAAAAGTAGATTAATCGGTCCGGAACTGTAGAAATACGCCTTCGGTAAGCCGCTGGATGCCATCCGACTCCTGCTGGAATCGTCTTAGGACACGATGCACTGTTCCCACCATCTGAATCCGAACGATAACAAGTGGTGACTGTAACCGGAGTCCCCTGAGTCTCCTTGGATCCAGTCCCTTGGGATCCAGACCCCTGAGATCCAGTCCCTTAGTCCCCTGAAATCCAGACCCCTGAGTGCCCTGAGTTGCAGCCGCCTGAGGTCGGCGTCGCCTCCAGAGTCTGACCACGGACCTGCGCTGGGACCTGAGTCACCACTTCGAGGCCGTGATGCTGGCCCTGCTGGTGCCGCCGTACGAGTTTCTGGCGCAGCAGCTGCACAGGGCGACGGACACGTCTGGGCACGGACGAGGACGTGCTGTACGAGACGCTGAGCATCCACAGCAACGCCGAGATACGCGTCATCAAGGACACCTACCGGAGGAGTACGTAAACGCGCCTGGCGTGGCGGGTCTCTCTGGTCGCTGATTGGAATGGTTCGCACCCCGATATTTCGAGCGATGTGACGTCACGACGGCAAATGGTCGCGATTAGTGTTACCACCCTTATGTGCTGCGGTTGATGTCTTGCAGTTCACTCCCTTGTTTCCGTGGTGCTCTTGTTCTTTCCCTTGTTTCCATGGCGCTCTCGTTCTCCCTCCTGTTCACGTGCTGTTCTTGTTCTCTCCCTTGCTTCCGTGGTGTTCCTTTTTCTCGGAGCACGTCGTGGCATAGTTCAGTCAGAGGTGGACAAAACTTGTCCGGTTTGGGCGGCTTGGGTTGGAGATTTATCGGATCACACTGCTATGCAGCTAGGGGTGCCCATACATCGCACTTGTCCGCGATTATTTTAAGACTAATTACGCTTAGGATTTTGGTGTGCACAGCACAACCAAACCCAATGCTGTGAGCTCCAAAATCTGCCGCACCCACAACCAAAATACAGCCGCCATTAGATTTGATTTCCTGCGTGGGGACTTATCAGCGTTGCACGCGTCCGAAGACAACTCTTTGACGGCTGTCCTCTAAACACGTGCTCATTCGCGGGTGCGCCTTCAGATGCGTCCGTCCAGCTGATTGGCCAATGGCACTGCGCGTGCTTCCCAGCCGCTGTGCGCCACAGCTAGCTGTACCTGACCCGGGTCAAGGCCGTACTCCCGCAGCCAGATGACAGACAGACCCTGGTCTGGCTTTCAGTGTACGGTCGGTCCCTGGAGCATGCCGTCCGCGCCGACTTCGCCTCCCACTTGGAGCGGCTGATGCTCGCTCTGCTGCAGGTGAGTCGAGCTGACGTCGCGCGCGGTCCGTTTGTGTACGCCGGGTGGCCTAGTATTGCCAAAGACTGTACCGCCGGGGGCCTTCTTGCTGTCAAAGACCGTACCGTGCTCTGTGATGACTGCTCGGAAACCATCCGTCGTCGTGGCTGTAAAACATCATGACACCTGATCAAATAGATCAACATGATATCTTAGTGTGCTTTGGTTAAAATAAAGGCCTACGTTCTACCCAGTGCAGCGTTTGATAATGGCAGGTTTTTACAATCTAGTTTTGTGACCGCAAATACATAGAAGCCCTGACCATACCCATAGGTACAACTTCAAAGGGATTGTGGTGCGTAATGAAATGTACCAGTGCGCTCCGCTGTGTATCCACAGGAATGCTTTGATCATTGCTTTCGAATGATCAAACATCAGAAAACATGATCAGAAAACAATGATCAAAACACTAGAAACACAAGCGTGGACTTTTGGGGGTTCGTTCATGACGCTAGTTTACAATGTAATCAGTCTCACAGCGACGCTGGAGATGTGATGCAGCCGGCATATGTGGTGGGGGGAAGGGGGGGGGGGGGAAGCCCGGCCGCTGATGAATCGGTTAGCGTCTGTCGTATTCTTACGCTAGTGCCTGTCTGCTGGGGGAAGGAAGGATAAAGTGTCCACACGCTGGTTTCTCAGTATATGAATTATGGATTGAAAAAATCAAACGGCAACAAACATCCCTGGTCAATAACAAACGGGAGTCGCCGAGCTGACATCCGTCACGCGATTTGTGGCGTAACAAGTGTGACCTTTGCCAGGCTACGCGAAATACTTTTAAATCGCCCAAAACCCCTGAATACCACAAGCTGCACTACCTGCTGCATCCGTAATATTGGTCGTGCAACTTTCACAGCTGGCAGCACGGGAAAATCTATTATAAATCAGCACTGCAATGTTAACAAATGTTACCAAATGGTAAGTGTCATGACCTGCCAGCGTGAGAGTCATGTCAGATCAAGGTCAGGTTATCTCAACGACTCTAATTAGTTAGGTATTTCGGTTCGTATGCTTCAAAAGGCAGAAGCGATTTGTTACGAAAATGTCAGTGACACCGACTTGTAGCAAATTACTTTCGTTCAACATCTGCCAGTTGGTCTCATAACAATTTTGACGATGATCAAGCACGATCTCGCACGGCATGACTGAGGCAGACTGATAGGTAGTGGGAAAGTTAGCCCTACATATATATATATATATATATATATATATATATATATATATATATATAGTCATATATATATATATAGTCATAGTCATATATATATATATATATATATATATATATATATATATATATATCCACCTAATGGCCGATATACATCGAATCGATGTGAATCGAATTGAACCACATCGAACATCACTCCTCCCCTCTCAGACAGCCACGGGCTCACATCGAAGCAGCGCAATTCCCATGCCACCTCGCCTGTGTCGCGAGTTTATGATGGATATATACGCTGTTGATGGCACACTCTGGCTTGCTTAGCAGCCAGCCTCTGGCCTGATGGCTGAGGCTGCCGTCAAGGGACCACATCACACTGTGCTTGTTTCATCGGCCCCGTCGGTTTGTAGCGTTCGGCAATTTCTCGCAATCATTGCTTGATTTTGACATCTCGATCAGCGTGTGTTATTCGACGCTGACGGATCGACGAAAACTGAACCTTATCAGCACACGGCATTCTGTACCTGCCGAGCTCGGTTTAACAATCGCTGGCGGACGCCAGCGACTATTGGCTATTGAGCGTGCCTCGGAACTGACGGCTTTCATCCATTACCTACCTGTTAATGTATCGTCAGAAGACCAGAATGCGGAAATCCACCTAATGGCCGTCACTCCGCATCACCGGTAGTCCCGGCCCGATCTCCCGTCCCACCACCGCGGCTGGCTGGTGACCTGTGACCTCTGGCAGGCGAACCGCGACGAGTCCGATCACGTGGACCAAGAGAGGGCTGTCACCGACGCGCAGAGGTTCTACGAAGCCGGTGAGGTGTTTGCGGGCGGCTGACTCGCGCCCCTTCTCGCCCGCCCACCGGCGGTCGGGAGGGAGGCGGTAGTGATTGTTGCGGAAAATGTACGTAGCAGATACAGTACTGCGTGGGCACGTGGTGTTGACGGCCTTGGCTTCTGCTCGGGGTGCTCTTGGAGAGAGAGAGAGAGAGAGAGAGAGAGAGAGAGAGAGGAGAGAGAGAAGAGAGAGAGGAGAGAGAGAGAGAGAGAGAGAGAGAGAGAGAGAGAGAGAGAGAGAGAAGAGAAGAGAGAGAGAGAGAGAGAGAGAGAGAGAGAGAGAGAGAAGATAGAGAGAGAGAAGAGAGGAGATAGAGAGAGAGAGAGAGAGAGAAGAGGAGGAGAGAGAGAAGAGAGAGAGAGGAGAGAGTAGAGAGAGGAGAGAGAGGAGAGAGAGGAGAGAGAGAGAGGAGAGAAGAGAGATAGAGAGAGAGAGAGAGAAGAGAGAGAGAGAGAGAGAGAGGAAGAAGAAGAGATAGAGAGAAGAGAGAGAGAGAGAGAGAGAGAGAGAGAAGGAGAGAGAGAGAGAGAGGAGAGAGAGAGAGAGAGAGAGAGAGAGAGAGAGAGAAGAGAGAGAGAGAGAGAGAGAGAGAGAGAGCGAAGAGAGAGAGAGACATAGAGAGGGAGAGAAGAGAGGGAGGAAGAAGAGAGAGAGAGAGAGGAGAGAAGAGGAAGAAGGAGCAGAGAGGAGAAAGAGGAGGAGAGAGAGAAGAAGAGGAGAAGAGAGAGAAGAGAAGAGCGGAGAGAGAGAAGAGAGAGAGAGAGAGAGAGAGAGAGAGAGAGAAGAGAGAGAGAGAGAGAGAGAGGAGAGAGAGAGAGAGAGAGAGAGAGATGAGAGAGCAGAGAGGAGAGAGAGAGAGAGAGAGAGAGAGAGAACACAGGGGTACGACGTACGCTCCCCCGATCCAGGACAATCGGGGTTGGGCGATCGGGCGCAGTATGCCGCGTGTGCTAGTATGCCAGTGCAGCGGCAATGACGCAGCGCGTCCGACGCTTCACTAGGGCTAACAGTGTCAACGAGAGCAGCAACGTGGTCGCGCTTACACAGCGGCGTAGGGGTGCAGGTCGCCTTCACACCCTGTGGTGATCCAGGGAGCTTATAATTTTCCATTTCCTGTCAGTTTCACAGTCGCAAAAAAGTGCAATTCCATCATTCCCTGTTGATGTAAGATTAGTTACCACCGGCGTAAGTTGTTCAGTGCATTAGCGAGGAACATTACTTGTGTAGGTAAGACAGGAGTATCAGCCTCATTCCTCGGATCAAAACCAGGAGAATAAAGATCTAGTTGGGTTAATATTTTGGCAGCATGCCTTTTTCCAAACAACGGCAAAAGTGAATTCCTCCTGTACCCCTACCCCTGTACTCCCCTTGCTGTCCAGTGGGGTACCGAAGGTGGTTTCCCTTCTGCTACTGTTTCGATAAAGGCATGTTGAACACTTCCCAGACAGCTGGGATGGCAGGTGTCTCACTTTGTCCCTCGGTAACGCCACTCCATCGAAAGCAGTCGGCGGTCAGCCATTTCGCTTGCAGTGCTGTCAACGCGCATTCCCTTCAGCGGAAATACCATCCGCATGCCCAAACAAGCATGTTGTCACAGCAAGTGATTTAATCGAGAAGCAGTCAAAGCGCAGTCGCCCAAAGCGCGCGTCCAGGTCAGGAGCGTGACGTCTTCCATGGCATGAGTACCATGTCCGACCATTGACCCAGGTCCGGCGGAGACATGGCCGACGTTGACATGAAGGCCGGCTTCTGCTTCTGCAGCAGCAGGCGTGCCCATGAACGCGCGCCAGTTACGCGACTTTCGGAATGGTGACACCCTCTGCGTCCTGTGTCAGGCGAGGGGATGATGGGCACGGACGAGGACACGTTCAACACAATCCTGGTGGCGCAGAACCCTGCCCAGCTGCGGGTACTGATGATGGAGTACCAGAAACTCTCCGGGAGGAGTCTCATCGATGCGATAAAGAGGGAGACCAGTGTGAACTACCGCGCGACGCTGATGGCGATTGGTGAGACGAATGGCTGGTTGGAAGGAGGCTTGTTTGGAAAAGCTGACTAACGGTCGTGTACAGCCAGTTATACTATATTCCTATTTTACATATATATATATATATATATATATATATATATATATATATATTGCTACCTATATTCCGTACCGTTCTGGCCTCGTACTTAATACAGCCGTTCCCGTTCTGTCGTCAAGTTGCATCTGTCCCTTTCTGCCATCCATGGGCCCGTGCCCCTCGTATCACCGTCTGTGTCCGCGCGTTTCTTGTACTGACCTGCGTTCGTCCCTTATGCAAGCGAACCTTCCCGAAGTCTTTCCGAAGAAGAACCTTCGAAGTCTTTCCCTTCGTTCCGCCCTCTTGTCTGTATCACTTCCCCCAAGTCTTACTGACCCATGTCCCACTTCGAGGACACGAGGTCAGTGACACACGGGCCATCCACGTCTGCCACTACCGCGTATCCATCAGCTCTCGCACACCGACCTGATCATGCGGCCTACAGATGACCCGTGTTTGTTGTCTTCAACTCAGACATCGTCGGCCAGCGCTGTCGCTGACCTGACGCACGTACGGCCTGCAGTCCTCAGCACCCTGGACCGAACGGCCTACCTCGCCGAAAGGATTTGGAATACGATGGAGGGATTTGGCACTCGTGAGAACGATCTCATCCGGCTTATCGTTTCGCGCTCCGAGATAGACCTGGCCAACATCAAGCAGGAGTACCACAGACTGCACCGACGCTCGATGGAGAGCTCCATCGCGGTGAGGAAGGACGGCGTTGAACAAGCGTCTTAGGATGGCGCAGTGGGATGACGTCATGATGACATATTGGGATGACGTCATGCCGGCGCACCGTGCGTATGGGACCACGTCGTGCCGCGACCGTCGGGAGTAAGCTTGGCCCTGATTGGACAATGTCACCACACAGGTGCGTTCATTTGCACAAAAGAGGTATTAATTTTCTTGAATCAGAACATATGCATATGTCACGGTTCGAAATTGGGGGGCTACCTGGCTGATATCTGAAATTTAGATGGGTGATTGCAGCCACGTTATATATTTATTATATATATAATAGCTAACAAGTGAAGCACATAGAGAATTTTAAAGATACTTCATCAGCTGGGTCTTGTCCAGTTCTGCACATCTCACGCTGCAAGGGTGCTCATCCATCGCTGGGGGTGGGGAAGGGGCTGGGGATCGGGGGCTCACCACCCACCTCGGAAGCCGTAACCCGCCAGCTCCCATGCCCTCTTACAGGCTGACACGTCGCGCTACTTCGAAAAAGCGCTGCTCATGATCGTCAAGGGCAACTGAGGGCGTTGTCGTCGCACACCCGCGCGCGCGCCGTGTGCCGCCCCAAATGGGCGGTAGATGGCGCTGGTGGTTCTTGGAGACCAGTGCCTCGTCTGTGCGCAGCAGCCATGCAGACGTCATGTCATCGGCCATGTCTCGATGGTAGTGCGAAGCGAGCTGGAGAGGCGATCGACGCCATCTTGGCACGTGCCAATGCGGCGCTTAATGGAGCTTTCCATGAAATATTATGATTAATTATCACCGCTAAGCTGCTTAAGCCTATTTTTAACAATGCTTACAATCGACTGCCTTCATGTGTAAAAGATGCACAGGATTCAGCCGCTCGTTATGAATATTTGCGTGCTGCAGATGCTTCGAACCGTATAACTATGTGCCGTTTGTAGGAAATGAGTTGGCGTAATTTGTATTGTGCGTACAGCTCCCAAAGCTAGTGTTTTAGTATAAAAGCTGGCTGTGTGGAATTATAATATGTATTCAGGTAACGTGGCCTGGAAGCAATGAAGGCGTCCAACCTGTCACCGCAATGCTACCACATGCGTGTTAGACTCATATGTTAGACTCATATGTTAGACTCATACGCTTATTGACATATACCTATGACTCTATACTTCCACCCCCTCTGCCAAATAAACTGTGCTTTGATATGTTTTTCAGTTGTGATTGGCTCACACGAGGTAGGAATATTTACCAGCTACCAATAGTCGTTCGGTTGGTTGGTAAGCTGAGATTACGAGCGACACTCAGAGACCACCTTGGTTAACACGAGCCTGGGTGGCCGGTTGAAGGGAATGTTCCACATTTGTATGGCGCTTTGGTCTGAAATAGCCATCTCGAAGGAAGATTCAGTGCAGTTCACAGCCCTGCTCTTCTCAAGAGCCCATTCTAGTTTCCGAGCTATACGCCCGCGAATATGTGCAAACTATTTCGGGGAGACTATTTCAAGGTCACCAGTGCATCTATGACGCTATAAAAACGTCTTATAAATCTTGTCTTTCCAATGCCCATGCGGCGATCAACGGCAAGAAAAAATTGGCCTTCAATTGACTCTCAACCAATGTTGTGCAATGTGCGATGACGTAACCAAACAGTGACGTATTATGGAGCACATTTACTGCATAGAGAGATGGTGTTGTCTAGAGCAGCGTTTTCCACTTATAATTTTAGCAATAGTATACACGAGTGAGCTTACTTAAGCCTATCTGATGCCTCTTCAAAAATAAGCCGTTCCCTATGAACGGCACGCTGGGGTGGGTAGGGGGCAATTTGCCCCCTCCCTTCAGATATCAAGGCCAAAGACAGCCAGAGACATCATATTCAATGGGTGGGTAGGGGTTTATATGAAGCGGCTTGTGTTGTGTTTCGGGGTCATTTGATCCTTATACCTACCTGCGGACCAAATAAGGCCAAACAATATCCAAACTTCAGATGGTGTCCCTCAGATCACCCCGGCAGCCGCCCTTAATCTAGGTGCCAGTTATAATAGAAGCGGCTTGGTGCTTATACCAGGTCAGTGAGCTTATTTGGCATTAAAAAGGTAAATATGACTAAAAAAGATCCTACTGGATTATTTTTGCATCTGAATTTGCAATCACTGCGGAGTTCTACCTTAGGCGTTATGCGCATCAAATTAATAGGATGATCAGAGGTCGCTTCAGGTCAGTGACGTTTCTGACCTCCATGAAAAGAAAATACGAAATCGTTTTCCGTCGCTGTGATGAAGGAATTGGAAATGTGTGTAAAGAACTACCTCATAAATCAAGTTGTTCAGTAATAAGGCGTTCCCGATTTAAAACTGATCTGACCTCCATATTCGACTCAAAGTCAATGAAATTAGCAAAATCCTGGCTTTGATAGCCTCGTTTTCTAAGAAAACACCTCAAAGCTGCATGACTTAGTCTAGCGCTACATCATCGCATCACATTTAAACGTTTAGCTGGGAACTGACTTCGCTGACAGCCTATGGCCTCAGTTTGACCCATCATAGGTCAGCGACCTTACAAGGCAAGTGATTTTCGGTACAAAAAGATCGGATATTGAAGTGCCTACAGCGACACGAACTTTGGTGGCGCTACGCCTCAACGTTCGGAAGTCATTTTTTAGAAAAAAACTTGCTGGGACCAATTGATCCCGCTCCCCCCACCCGAGCGCGCGCTAGTACGCGTGTGAATGTAGGCAATTAGGTTCACAGTTCCAACCTGCCTTCGGAAGGCTTATCCGCGACCATGCCAGCGAATGGTGAGAGATCGTCTTTGATCAAGGCCGCATAAGAGTCCTCTTAGTGATATCCTCCTTAAGTCCTCGGTACCCGATTAGTGATCTTCGAGTGATCGATTACTGCTTTAGGACCTGGGCCTGAAGCGGCGAGTTCCGGCATGGTCTGCCTTCAAATAGACCCTTCGTTCCGGTGACGTTTTCTGAGGGCGCAGTCTTGCTTCACGTCACTGGGGCAGTCTTCTGCCTCACCTTTATCGAAGAATCGCGACAACGCTCACGTGAGCATAAGTGCTGTTGAGGAACCTGACAGGAGGTCTGTGTTCAAGAATGTCCCGAAAGGGTGACAGAAAAAATGAAACAGCGACCGTTTACGCAGAGTGTGTGTGTAACCAATGCGTACTATTACTGCGTGCATCTCACGAGAAAAGACGGGGCACCAAGTGTTTTTTTTTAACGACGTCGACAGAAAATGACGTATGCGACTTTTCCCGCAATGCATCATTTGTGGCTTAGCATTTACAGACCGCCCCATCGTGATTCGGTGTTTTGTATGCGTGCAGAAAGCCGGATAACGATGGTATACCTGCAGTTATTTCGTGGGAATAGGTCAAACATTGCGCTGGGGTAGGGCTTCTTCAAACAGATGCGATTTAAGACGGTAGTAATATCCTTATTACTAGTAGAAAACCAGGAGAACGGATATATATGTGTATATATATATATATATATATATATATATATATGCATTGGCAGGAGCTAGAATTCTGCTATTGTTTCGATAAAGGCATGTTGCCGAAATATCAACCCATCTATGTCTCCATTTTCCTGTTTTTTCCCCGATGAATAGGGCTATTACTACTGTCTTACCTATGTCAATAATGCTCCACGCAAATATACTTAACAACTTACAGATGCAGTTTATTCTGGAATCATTCAGACGATGGCATTAGTGTACCGTATGGATACCTGGTCCGACTACTGGTCTCCGTCCGTTGTGGTGCCACGTAAACAGCTGAATGAAATATAAATTACAGGCGCCATACCTATGAGCAATGCAGTCAGTGTACCCTTGAACCTAAATTATCGCCACGCACGCAGCGCCTAGGCCAGTTCATTCCCTGGACGCTGGCAGGTGCTATCGAGTCCTGAACAGGGCCTATTTAAACTCATTAAATTGAAGGGAGGAGGGGGGGGGGAGTAATCCCCACCAAGTACCGTCAAATCTCCCCTCTCGCAGTGGAAGCTCGATTTGCCGGCAGCTCGCGCTCGACCCGGTCTTCGAAACGGCTCAGGCAGCGGTCGGAGTGGCGGCGGGTTTATGCATTGTGCACGGGGGCAAACAAGTTGAAGTGAGTCAGCTGTTTTTAAATAAGAAAAGAAAAGAAACAAAAAATGAGCGATAAACAGCTTTTGAAACGTCGGACAGTCAGGCAGAAGTAGTCACACAGACGAAAAGGTGCGTACAGTTTGCTGCGCGCCATAAAATAGCAACCCGCACTCTCCATCTGGTTTTTACGTGTCAACATATAGCCACGTATAAAGTAATGCACTTTTAAAGACTTAATCCGAGCGTTTTGAATGGATGGATTTCTGGGCTCAGGGCTTGTTGTGTGAGCGCCGGCCCCTACCGTCCGATCACGCATCATTCCAGGTCAACGGCAGAGTTTCATGGCGAAAGCTGAACGTGCCGCAATGCTGGGCATGGTCCGTCCTGCCCTCTGACGTCGTTTGACCTGTAGCGCGGCCGCTGCCACCGGCCAAGGCGACTCGAAATTATCCCGCTCCGGGCGGGTGAATCGAGAGGCAAGTGCTCTTACCAACTGAGCCATCGCGGCACTGATATGGGGGGGGGGGGAGGGGGCATGTGCCCGGGACTTCTATGTGCGTACGCCCCTGTCTTTGTACACAGTGGTTGACGCTTGGGTCTTGCAGCTGATGGACGCTAAAATGATGTCACCGCCGTCGGGTCCGCGGCGGCAAAACAAACCCCTCAATCCGCGGCTGGCTGAGGCGGAGCGCTGAATGGCCTCCAGCATTTATTGAGCACTTTTAAAGTCATGTGGTGTGAACTGGTACCATCTGAATGCATAGCTAACAAAACGTGCTTAACGCTGCCGTCCAAAGGCAAAACCCCACACGTTTATTTTTTGCTGTTTTGAGTGTTTGAAGTTACTTGATTCGTCTTCTCATGCTGAATTCGTTACTTAAACCATTAGTTGAAACTTTTGCAAACTTTTAGCCCTTTCTTTAGCTAAAAGCTTGTGAAAATTTCAGCTAATAGTTTAAATAACCGAATTCAATTTGAGAACATCAAGCAAATGACATAAAGAGCACAAAATGGCCAAAAATAAACATATTGTGTTTTGCCTTTGGACGGCAGAACGTTTTACGGTGCGGCGTGCTAATAAACTCGTGCAAAGTTGGAACGACAGCCGGTACTCGGTTTTCGGTCGATTGTGAAGGCACCTCCTTTGCATACCGTAAATTCCAAGCCAGTCGTATTGGCCCCATCTCCGTTGTGTTTCTGACTTCCCTACCACTGCGACGACGGTTCGAGATCGCACTGCTCCAGACTCATCCATAACTCACAGTTCGTCGAGTGCCCACGGCCGCGACATCTCGATATTGTCGAGCGTTGCTGAGTAAGCAGGGAAGCTTGACGCTATTGTGATGTCACATCGGCGACTATTCGACGAACTGTGTTAAGTACGTCCATAATCCTCACGATCTTCCTCAATCTACGTTCCAACATTTTGTGTACTGGCGCTGTTCATGTACATCCCAGGATCCACTATTGCTCCCACAACAATGTGTATCACTTTTCAATGGCTTGACCACGGTTCTTTTAGATACTTCCCTAGGATTTTTCTCTAAACTTTCCTGCAAATGTTTCTTTTTGACTACCACGAAACTTGTTTCACCACATATGCCACTTACAGTAAATCGATTGTCTTAAAAACGGAGCCTCCCAGCAGTACTGTTAGGAGGCGCTCATCAATCCCCCCACTGAGTTGTCAGCACACATGTGCACTCCTCGCGATCGCACACGCGTACTGTGAAAATTTCAGCCTCTCACTACCCTCGGTTTAACCTCCATACCAGCAAACAAGAAAATACACCAAACAGGTAGGCGGGCATACAGACAGAAGCCCATTTTCGAAGATTGCGTATTACAATTTATATGGCAGCCTCGTTTAAACAAGGAGTGAATACAGAAATGCTGTGTGACTCCATATTGTAGCCGACCTTTTCTTGCAGTCCATGGTCTAAACTTGGCACTAACGAAGATCACTTGGCCCCAACAAAAACAAAA